GATTCCAGCCTCGGAAATTGCAAACCACAGCAATATTCTTAAAAGTCTAGAAATATTGAATTAAGAAAATCCCTTTCAATTCAGCAAACACTTTCCTTGATACTCCTCCATTAACTTTTCCAAGAAATGTCGTCGTTTCAATGATCCATTTTTAAAAAAGGAACGAAGCAGCGAAGAATATCCAGTGGTGTAATTCTACGCTGTCTCGTTTTGTTCTCATCAAAGTGCTATTAAAAAAAGAGATAGAAGACTTTTGATTTCTCGATTCAACATAAACAGAAATAATATGGAGACATCCTTTGTTTTCCTTGTAAAATCTAGTTTTACGTTCCTTTTTCAAACAATCCTCTAGACTCGGTCGCTCAAGTGGTTAGAGTAACAGTACGGAATTGTGGATGTCGGTTCAAGTCGTGGCCGAGTCAATTAATTTTTTTCTCCAATTTATAGATGATTTTTGAACATGTGAAATATTAAAGTTTTCAAAATAGGAGTTGAGGGTGACTGAAAATTAACGGCAAATTAATGGTATGAATCCTATTCGTGCGAGACATCGATTAACATTTGACCGTTTTATAACAATAATCAAACACTAATTTCTGAGGTAAATGAACCCGTTGTATTAAAGCAACAATGTAATTATAATTTTATGAGAAAAAACATGTCAATTTCGCACAAAATATGAGCAAGCGCTGGTGTATAATTGCTTTTTGAGCTGATACAACATGCATGAGATTGATGCAATAACGCGTACCTATGCTTCAATTCATTTTTTTCATAATTCTTTTAAACAAAGGAATGAGACAAAAATTAATGACTCAATATTTATTTTTTATATGTTCATTTAGCGTGTATTGCTTAAGTTTTAATTTAATGTACCACACACCAATACCATACCAAAAAAAAAATACACAGTCCCGAACCCACACTACAAAGCTCCCTGCTATTACACCGAACTCTTCCGACCGAACCATTCCAAATGTCGCGTTCGCGTCATAAAACTCTTTAATCTAAATAAGATTTAACTCTATTTCAATTTATAGTCGCTTTTTAATTTATATCCTCCTTGCCATAATGTGCAATAACATGTGAAAAATAGTATAGGTTTCAAAGATTCAAATTAAAATAATGCTATTTATATATGCTTCAAAATATGTATAACGAATTCCTAATACATAAGATTTTAATTAATTCTTGATAATATAATGAACCTTAATATTCAATATACACTGAATTCAATTCCCAATAAATGCCAAATACCAACTTCGACGGAACAGATGGCGCTAGCGTAGCAATTTTTACTTTGACATCAGAGACATCCTACATCTTTAGTCTACCCGTGACCACGGCTGCTGCAAAGCATCCGAAACGTTGGGCCGAAATTAAAAACCATTTTCAAATAAGTTTAACTTTATTTAAACTGCTTACTTTCTGAATATTTCAAGTGCCTGTTTGATATCAAAAAAATGATAAAAATACCCCCTCTTTTTTTGTTTTGTTGGAAGGAAGAAAATACCAAAAGGGGTTCTATACTCTTTGGGTAAGAGATCCTAAAAAGGTACTCAATTTGTTGAAAAAAAATTCAGTATCAAGAAATCGTTGAATAAGTAATGTGCGTGATGTAATCCCTTCGCAATATTTTCTGTTATATTCGTCAAAATGGGCCCAGTCATCCATTTACGACATGTATTTTTATTACGCGATTTTGCTATCTACGTATTGGAAAATTACCAAACATATACATATAGTTCTTATAAGCTTTTATTGATATAAAGATAAAAATATTGTATTCGTATTTAGTGTAACCCTTTGTTTATCTATTAAGAGGAGAATAGATTAATAAAGGTTCTGTTGTTGGCATGTCAAATGCACACATTCATATAACATCTAAAGAAGATGCGTGCATCATCATCGGGTCTAACATGCTTGTAATAAATGTATAGTTTTTCTGAAACATGTTAGACTGTCGTGTTTTCCTTGCCGCGATGATTCGCGACTCCTTGTTCAACCCTTTAGGGGCACGGGGTTGTCTTGCGCGCCTTGTAACAAGGCGGTCCTGTAAGTCGTAAACGCTGGTTAACGCTGGATCGGCGTTCGTGGTCATGTGGTGGTGCCTCACTGTCTGTTAGACTGCATCTGGAAATCTTTATATTAAATGAGTGGTAGGAATATCGTATATTCCGAACGCAACTTACGTTCACAGGTGAAAAAGCCGTGAAGTTTCACCACGTTTTGATTGCAGTTCTTGGATTTATCCGAAGAAAACATAGGTCGATAGCGCATTTTGTTTAAATGTTATATAGCCAGGGTAATTCATCTTTCATTAACTAAACCTCATATTTGTCCTCTTCTATCATAACTATATTTGTAGTATAGTAATCTCTAACAAGCTTCAATAAGTGTGTGGCAAGGTATAATCGAGAGCAAGACAAAAGAGTTTAGGAGTAAGTAGGATGGACATAGCAACTTGCAAGTTATGCATAATGTGTCACTTGTCTAAGGGGATGACGTATATAATTTTCAAGCGGCATGTTAAACTGGACCTCCTTGGAAAGCATATGTGCAGCAATTAATGGTTATTATTATTCTATTATATATGTGTTTGTTATGGTCTATCAATCTTGGAAATATATTTATATTATATTACTTCACTAAACTTCACTCCTTTCATTCTATGCCCGGGCCAGACTGAAAACCGGCGCTGCTGAGTGTGACAAGCGTTCAGCAGCATAGCTGACTCTGGTACCGATTGCCATTCCCTATAAATATTTACTATTTTTTTTTATGCACACAATTTAGTTATAAGTTTGTAAATATATTATTATGGTAATAAAAGATTTGAATTTGAATTTGTTCTTAGTCATTACTTTTTTATCTTCTGTCAATGTCAGGAATATTCATTAAGTTTCATAAAAAACAACAAGCCATTTTCTGAAATAATAAGTACATAAATTAATAGTTAATCCAATGTTATCTCAAGTTCACGACAACATAAATATTGTAATGGGATATCGGAAAATGAAAACACTAATAAATATTTATTTATCTATTTTATTTGTCAAAGTTCGCCTTATCGCCTACCTTATACAACTTACATAATTCATAAATCCAACTTTGTATTGATAAAAAACCTTTCATAGATCATATTTACAAGAGTTATTTACAATTACGATGCAAAATTAATGTGATACTAAATTAACTACATAGTTCAAAATGGGTGCTATAATCCAACCGTTTATTGTGTAAAAAAGGGTAATTATGTACAGAAAATGTTAATTAAGAGTTATTTTATTCAACGTCCTATATACTAAGATTGCTAAGGGTCAATTTACCTCTCTAAACGTTTGCTTCTCGCTGTTTCGAACGAGACTCATTAAATAAATGTTATTTCATTGTAAATATAACGTGAAAAGTAAGAAAAATATACGTCCAGAGCACAACGAACTTAAAACTTCAGTTTCGAGCCTAAATTTAATTAAGTATATTTACATTTCACTCGAAATTAAAAGGCCTCGTAACGCAGGCGGATTCCCCTAGTTTGTTTTTTAATTTCAAAGTTGGAAAATCCCTCAAGTTTTGATTCAACAATGCGTTGTGTTTTTAACGTGAATGAAACAATACGATATGTCAGTTCTATATTTTGACAGGGTTTTTAAGTTCTTTTTACAAATAAAAGGGCACAATGCTTGAAATTACTACCTTGCATTATTATATGTTTCGTCATAACTTCTTCTTCTACATTTTTTTCGACAAAAGAAAGAAAGGTTTCTGATTTGATTAATACTTTTTATTTCATGTGTGTGTCCACAATCTACAATTTAAGTATTTTATAATGAATTTGGTCATACCTAAAGAGCTTTAGGTTCGGATGCTGATAAAATATTATGAATTGGTGCAATCGTTCCGATGGTATATTGTAAAGTATAGGCATAGAAATATCCATGACAGCAAATAATTCACTAAAATTCAGGTTTACGATAAAATACAGAACCAAAATAAAGTTTGAGTAGGTTATTTATCCGACCTACTTTCGATGTATTAAATTACCTTCATTTAGGGGCAGAGAGATAATTTTATATGTACGCGTTCTTGAAAATAAATGAGGCGAGAGGGCGCTATTGATCTTTTTTGTAGCGCGCTGAATTGATTTGGCCCGAGGTTCATAAGAAACGCTTTTAGAGAAAAATGTTACATATTCTTATTAGATACCGGTAATATATAAATAAATCGGTTTAAAACGCGATATATATTAGTTAAACTTATTTGAAAATGATTTTTAACTAGTATTTATATTGCGTTTTTAACCGTTACAGTATTTTATTTGAATGCGCAAAATGTATACAGTATTTAACGGTAATATTTTCAGCGCAGCGCAATTAATAGCGGATTTATGTGATACGATTCTGCAAAGTATAAGACATAATTTTAGAACATACGAATTGTTTTTTCAAAAGTTTTTACTGTCGAAAAAGCAAATTTTAAAATACTAGAAGTTGTCTAGAACTTAAACAAATGTTAAAATAGATTTGTGTATCGCTAAAAATTTTTTAATTGTTTACGTAAAAAATGCATCAAAATAGTTCAATGCAAAAGTTTTAAAACAATAATCATTTTTTTTCGAACTTATACTCTTGTATTGATGGTGTTATTTATTTAATTAATATTCCGATGCATTATAGATCATGGACTATTATGTAAAATAAAATTCTACAAGAGCGCTCACGGGCTTCAAACTTGTATGAATATTTAATAGTAAATTTTAAGTTCCTTGTGCTTACTTACCAGTAGAAAAAAGACGCTAAATAATTTTGTAAATCTGTATGTTTGTTTACCTGAAATATTGTTTTCGCAAAAAAGTAACAAAGGTATTCTTACATTATTACTTACATACATTCTTATCGTAAATTAAAATCGTAAAAATCTACAGTGGAAATAGTTACATTTTTACATCGCTTACTACTTAATCTTTGAGAGAATTATTTTTTACATACATTTTGTAACTTTCATCTGAACCCGTCAACTGTGCTAGTGTATAGCGTAGCTAGGGTACAATATAAAGATATAAGAAGGTTCACTGAAAGCGCACAGGGGGACGCTGTATTCGCGTTACCATGTTGCATTGCGGCCGGGTGCTCCCCTGTAAAAAAAAATTAAATAGGTATTTTGTAAGACTTAAGAAAAATCAGCAGCAAGCTAAGTACATTCAAAAGATAACTGTTTACTCAGTTGTGTCACATAAACTAACATTAGGTTTACCTAATGTTTTAATTTTTTGTTGCCATACCACTTTGTACTCTTTTAGATTCATAATGCAGAAATACTTAAGTACGCAAAAGTTTTAGTTATATGTGAACTTAATGTAATTGTGTACGAATTTAATTAAATAAATAAATAGAATGTCGCCTTACAAATCGATTATAAAAATACCTATCCCTTACACAACCGTAATAAATGAGAGTAATTTAGCGAGCTTTATGAGATTTGAGATAATTAGCCGGGTTTTATTCTCTGACTGTGTAGATTGCTTAGGTCGTTCTGAAAAGACAGCATTAGCGTTATAAAACGCTACATAATCGCGTCATTAAGTTCTCTTGTTTTAATTTATCAGGCGTAATGATAATTTCTGAGGTCTTCGCTCAAACAGAGGCCCATATCTATACCAATATTATAAAGCTGAAGAGTTTGTTTAAACGCGCTAACTCAGAAGATATCGAATTGAAAATCATTAGTGTCGGTTAGAGCATTTATCGAGGAAGATAAATACAACATCACGCTGTGACCGAAAGAAGAAACAGCGGAAAATGTGGAAAACACGGAGAAAATGCTTCATATTTCAGGGATTTCGATGCGTGCACTTCGAAAACGGTCCAAGACCCAAAAAAAATGTATAAGGAATGGTTCCACTAAAAATGATCAAGGAAGTATATGCCAATCTCTTTTTTTTATGTTTAGTAATAAGTGTAACATGTTTTTATGTGCCCTAGTAGTAAATAAAATTTTTCTTCTCTTCTTTCTCTTAAGATTTACTTTCAAAAACGACTGGACGCGGATGACGTTGTAAGTAACGGCTATAATTTATTAATATAAAAAGGTTTAAATAAAACACTTTAACGGTTTAAAACGCGATGTATTAGTGTAAGAAAATATAAATAAATAATATATTTTGCGTTTTAAACCGTTAAAGTGTTTTATTTAAATGTGTACTACTCGCATAAACTACAGACAGTATTTATAAAAAGATTTACAAAACCAAATTTTGATGTCCAAAACTATTATACACGCACAAAGTTGCGGGGATAGCTACTTTCAAAATAAGTAATATGGTTTTTTATATTCCCTTTGGGTAAAAGCACTAAATTATTTTAAATTCACGTGATAACGTGTTATGCATGTTTTTAAATGCTAATTGGTTTTTTCATTAAAACAAAAAAAAATATTCGCATTTTTGTAGTCCCTGAATATGTATGGAGAAGGGCGGGCTTATTAGAATATGGGTGAATTTTTTATTAGATAAACATAATATTATAGATACGTTTGTTTTTATACTTTTTGATTTCTATGCTTGTAAAATTTATTTAATTACAAAATGTTTTCTTTTCTTAAATCACTCAAATTGTAATCGTTTATTGACGTGTTGACTATAGATACTGGTTTGAAGTTAGATTTCCGAAAAAAGAAGGCTAAATAAAACATAAGTAAACCCGACATTCTTAAACTTTATCTGTCATCACATATCGTACAAGACAAAGTTTGTGTAACTATTGATAATATAATATTCAACAATTGTACTTGCTAACATACGAGTTAAATCAATAATTATCTTAGTTTAAAAATAAGATACTTTTATCTTTTTAAAAATCGAAAATAAATTGAAAAAAAATTCGACACGGGCAGGACTTGAACCGGAATCGTCAGCGTTCCGTGCAGTTGCTCTACCAATTGATTTACCGAGTCACTCGCGCAATGTATCAATAAGTTGAAAAAGTACTTATGTCTTTATAATAATATCGATATTATAATAAATTATATATTGTCTGTAGTTTACGCGAGTAGTACACATTTAAATGAATAACTTTAACGGTTCAAAACGCAAAATATATTATTTATTTATATTTTCTTTATTGCACTAAGCATAATATTATTACAAATTAAACTTATATACTAGAATGGAGAGCAATGGGCGGCCTTATCGCTAACAAGCGATCTCTTCCAGGCAACCTAAAGTTATGAAATGTTAAGAAAATGAGATTATTGATTATTGAGAGATGAGATATTAGTTAAACTTGTTTACACGGATGCAGCAAAGCGTCCGAAACATCGGGGCGTAGTTAAAAAAAATTTGTAACCAAGTTTATCTAATAAAATTCATGTTTTAAACCGTTAAAGTGGGTAATATAAATATCGATATTGTTATGAATGTGTGAAAATAAGTTTAAGATCTTACCATTGATAACATGAACGTTTACCGAAGCCGCCTCTGCCATGGTGGGTACGCAGCTGTAGTTGCCGCTGTCAGTTGGCAACAATTTGTTGACTGTCAGCCTAGATGTGAGTTGCTCAGTCCATTCCGTTTTCAGTCGAATTCGCGGCTGCTCGACGATATCATTAGCTTCCAATTCCTTATATTCTATTAGATTTGATCCTGTTTCAAATGAAAAAAAAAATACTTTGATACATTACGTGTAAAACAGACAGGAAAACGACATTGAAACTTCAAACACAGAGCTGAGTTGATTTTGATGAAATTTTGTATATACAGGCCTCGGTTAAGTCTATTTCGTTTTGCCAATTTCTCTCAAACACAATAAATTAGTAACCCTATTCTACTAAAACATCCCGTAGTAGAAATATAACAACACAAAATTTGTCATGTGTCAGTGTTTGTGAGTGAACAAACAGCTGACTTGATATTGATGCAATTTTGTATTTACATTCGTCAGGTCTTGGAATAGTTTTGGCTTTTTTATTTTGCTTCTTCAACGCTTAGCAACGAGTTTAACTAGCAGTGAATATATAAATTAAATTAAATAATTTATTATTTATTTTTATTTATTAATTACAGCTTTATAATACATACCACAAAAAATACAAGAGTAAAAATATATGAAAAATATCCATATATCTACAGACATCAAGGAATTAATTAATATCTGATCTCCCAATTTTAATAACCAAGAAATTGTGTCATGGAATGTTTTCTACAACTCAATCTAGCTGTGAATTATTGAATGAGATCAAGAAATGGAATCTTAAGTAAAATATTCCATTGTCCCTTGAATTCAATAAGGAGACATTGCTTGAAGGGTAGAATATTAATTTACAATGAATGCTTTAATCTTGAACTTAGTTGACCCAAACTTTGAAACTTGGAATCACAGAACTAAACAAGTATAGAATTAGATGAGAGATACAATATTAGAATAACGATTACGATTTTGGTATTATATGTTCAATTAGATATAAACAAATTGAAAACCTCGTACTATAGAAGAAATCATTGTATCGGTTATATAGAGTTCATTTTAAGGCCAATTTAGGCGGATAGAACCGCATTCTAAGAGAAGTAATAGAAAGGCAATATTACAAATATAATCTCTAATACATTTATAATTAAGTAAAAACATTTTTCAGATCTCAATATCTATATCTATACTAATATTATAAAGAGGAAGGATTTGTATTTTTGTATGTAACGGATAAACTCAAAAAGTACTGGACCGATTTAATAATTCTTATTTCATTAGAAAGCTACATTATCACTGAGTAACATAGGCTATATTTAGTGCTCGATTACTAACGAGATTAGTAAAAGTTCGTCGAATTGGAGAGTCTTCTTCCTAAAATGATCGTCTGGAAAGTATTAGAGTGTAGGCGTCCCAATCGTGAGCCAGAGAATCTATGGTCTAATGTTCAGGTTCATCTTGTAGAACAAAATGCAAGGTCGTCGCAACGACTTGGAGGAAATAGAGCTAGGAATTCGCGAACGCGTGCACGGGACTCTAACACTGAACGCTCGCAGCGGCTCCTGACACAGCGTGATAGACGGTCGTTAACAACTAGGACGCGCAATACATTTTTTTAAATTTAGTGATTCATGGCCGTTTTAATTAGCATGCTTACAATTTACATATCTGTACCTATTTATGTCTACCCGTGCGAAGCCGGGACAGGGCCGCTAGTCAAAGTATTTTTTTTTTTATGATAAAAACTCCCTACGATATTAAAGAAACTTCTGCCTATTGCTTTCGGATATCGGTGTAATGTGAAGATGTGAAAATGACGACGTCCAACATGTTTCAGAAAGAATAAAAATTGATTAAAACGTGGAAATCGGACTCGGTGGGGTCAAACCCACGACCCCTTATACATACATACATTGCTGCCATTATACAAATACGTCAAATTTAAAATTTTCATGATATGATTTAAATACACTTCACACGATACTTTTATGTATCTGACATTAATATTGAATTATTATAATGTAGGTCTGTAGCTAAATGGTTAAACGTGTAGCCTAGCATTGTATTGAGTGCTAGAGGTTCGAGCAACAAAGAAGTCAACTTGCGTATAGACTAAATCGATCATAGAAATCATATAAATATGTTCGCTCTATGCCCTACTCAGAAAACGCGATTTTACTATAATGTAATGAGGTAGAATTTTTACTTACCCTTGTACCAAAATATAGTACCAAGGTCGTGTGGACCTTGACTCAGGATGCAAGTAAGCGCCAGGGAACTGCCCGTCTTGACGTACAGATCGGCTGGACCCAGAATATGCGCCTTAGCTTCTGTTGACAAATAATATTTGCATTAAAGATTGTGTAATAATAATACAACCTTAAAAAAACTATGTTTACTTATTAGAAATTATAACAAATTTAACAGGTACTTACTGCATATTTAGTACTTGTATTGTGTAAGTAAGGATTCATGCTTCATGATTTTTTAGCAACCAACATATAAGGTAGGTCATACAAAAAATAAAGCTTGGAAGATTATTTATTTCATGTCTGTAGTCTACACGAGTCATCATAACGAGATTTAAATAAACTTTTACCCTTTATTTTTAATTTCAATTTTTAGGCTCCCTGTGGCCACCACTGCTAAACTAAATTATAAATAAGTTAACTAATATATTCCGCGTTTTAAACAGTTAAAAGTGTTTGTTTTAAAAGCATATAGAATCTATTTTTTTTTAATTAGTGTTGTTTTGTGTAGTTTCAACTTTTGTAATATAAAGTAAATAAAAAAAGTAAAAGATTTATTCTTTTTCTGGTTACTCGTAAGTAATCGCAGAGAAGAACAGCCGTTCAGCAGCAGCAGGTTCACTATATAGAAGGTCATTAGATGCCCTGAGCACTGTCGACCAATTTTTTCCATGGATATTCGTAAATTCATAGACTGGAAATACACACATATACATCTCAGCTTTTCCATTCGTAAACGATGGTCCTACCACCAGGTTTTTCAGACAAAGTTCAAAATAATCGAAAAAATGAAAATTGTGTATAGAAATATGTAGGTACCGGTGAAAATCGAATCCGCGACGTCTTACACTAACAAACCTTATACATTCATTTAAAATAGAGGAGGACAGAAAACCATAGAATCACTTGATGGTAGGTGAATTAGTCCAGCCATACAACATCTTGACAAGATGCGCTCTCGACCTTTTTTGGCTTTCGGATATTATTGTAATGTTTAATTGCATTCAACTCATGCATAGCACTTAAACTTGAATAGAAACGTTAAATTTTGACCTTTCAGTAATGTCACGCAAAATGCGCGAAATTAAATTCACATAGAACTCTGCACCAGAAGCTGTATAGATAACTTAATTTATGACGAGAGGTCTCGAAACGGAGCGATAGTTCCGGAAGGTCGCTGGTTAATTTCATATTAAAAGTGAAAAGTTCTTTGAAAGCCAAATACAAAATCAAGGTTATTTGGAAACCGTTATTTTCGGTATCGAGTGCATTCAAGCATCATTTTAACTTGAACTAAAACGATTGAAACATAATTTTATAGAAAATATGTCAAACTCTTTTGGGAATCCCACAGTTGGGACTCGGGAATATCGTTAAGCGGTTTTTTTTTATTTAGATCGGCCTGTACGGAATTTATTTATTTAGATCAAAATCGGAAATTGAAATGTAAGCACCTTACCGTTGTCAGATTGATCTGAAATTTGGTACACACATTTAATTTAGATGACAATACAATATAATAAAATCAACAACATTATAAATTCAAGATGGCCGCCGATACAAAATGGCGGATTACTTATTTTCCCTTAACCCCTTCAATATGATGTATCAAATGAAAAGTCTACAAAACACGATGATTATGGCAATGTTTTTGTGATTTTGTGTGCACAAAAAATAAAACCGTTTAACTTTTTTTAAGTTGATACTTGTTTTATCAGACCCACAAGCTCGCACTTTTTGACACAGGCTGACAAACAAGTATGATACTTGTTGGAATTAATACCCAGATATAACAGCCAAAGTCTACTTTGATTTTTAGGTAAAACTCGTATACTGATAACGATCAGTTACACACTAGCCTACAACGGAAGGTTTGTGTGTAACGCGTTTGATCGTTGCCGCTGTTATTATATTATTTTATATATTTATTATATTGTTATATCTATATTATTATATTAATACTTTCACGGCCAATTTGAAAAGCTCTCTAGATTTATACTGTCTGCAGTTTATGCGAGTAACAGTTAACGCCTGGAAACGATTATTATCAACTATGACAAAAATAGATGGCGCTATTGAAGCAGATTTGACATTGACATTAGGGACACCCTCCGTCTTTAATCCCCAATGACCATGCTTGCTCCACAGCATCCAAAACGCTGGGCCATAGTTAAAATAAATTGTAAAGAAGTTAACTAATATGTTTCGCGTTTTAAACCGTTAAGAGTGTTTTATTTATAAGCTACTTGGATTTTCTGGATAATTGAGAAATGATTTATAGGATTTCGCCACCACCAATGTCTAGCTAGACTTAGTATTTGTTATCTTATGATAAGCCATTATGACAGCCTTATGGCTGTGGCAATAAGACAAAAGATGTCTTTCCGTTTAATTTGTAAAAAGCGGATTTGTTTCTTTGACATTTAGTAGAACAAAAGGTTGTAAAAGACGAATAAACCGCTGAAGCGTCTCAAATCCGCGGCATTCGCGTCGCATGAAAGAGCTTATTTAGATGATAAAAGATAAAAAAAATCTTATCGCACTTCGGAGCCAATGAGCGCAGGAAAAAGATGGACGTGCCACAAATTTCAGACGCAAGATTTAATCCCGGGCACCTTTTATAGCTACCTCCGTAACATTATCATTGGACAATTTAATCTGCGCAAAAAGCTGAAATGTTTCGAGGGATTTTTGCAAAAGATCCAATTTTGCGAACAGCTTACGCGAGCGTTTAAGGTATTCTGTATTCGATTAACACTGTTTTAGTAAGTGCTTTGCGTGCCTCATTTGAAGGTAGGTGTTTTTAGAATGCCTTGAAGTGACCGACGATATACACGTTGACACGTTAATGTGTTGACAAGGTGTAGTAGTGTAGATGGTTTAGTATGTTAACTTAAATACTGTCTGTAGTAAACTACTCGTAAACGCGAGTAGTACACATTTAAATGAAACATTTTAACTGTTTAAAACGCGATATATATTAGTCGGGCTGAAGTTAAAAATAATATCCAAATATGTTTAACTAATATATATCGCGTTTTAAAAAGTAAAAGTGTTTTATTTAATTGTAGATAACTTATACGTAATATGATAGTTATACATTTGACCGCCTCTGTAGCTAATTGGTTAAATTTGTTTGCTAGACAACAAATTTCCATCCAGAGTTTGAATCACGGGAAAATAATGGATCGTTTCGTTCGGGCAGGGCACAGAAGTCTGATTAACTACTTGCGGACAGAGAAATATGTTAAATGCCTCACGAGAGAAACAGGATTGTACTTTAATATGTTGGTACACATTAAATAGAATACTAATAACAAGAACTATCCCCCTGTGACCACGGTTATTGAAAAGCATCTAAAACGTAGGACCTTAATTGAAATATTTTTAAAAAAAGGTGTTTTATTTAAATGTGTACTAGTCTTGTTAGTTTTATACAAATCTATGCATAATCAAAGGGATTTATGGTGGGTAGAATTTTCTTACAAAGCGCGCTGTTGTGGATCTTCAAACGTCAAGATAAAACAGATGGAGCTTTGCATTGACAACCGATAATGACTGCTGGTATTAGCCTGAAATACATTGCCTATGATAGATACGGTAGAAAATGCAGAGTGAACGAAGTGGAAAAGAAATTGATATTTCTCTTCCACTTTACAGTATCTTGTGTTCCACTGTAAAGTATCTTGATAGATACTGTACACCTAGAGACGAAGTTGTGTACAACATGAACAACGAAATAATTGGAACCACTTTTAATAGAACTCAGGTTATCACCATTAATTAACCAACTTTGTCATGTCAAGGAGTTTAAACGGGAGACTTGACACTGCAATTTAGCTTCGTTGACGCTTCACTGTAGTTACTGGTATATTTAAAACTAGATCTGCCCGCGACTATGCTTAGTTTACCTTTTTATTTTGAAAGAGGCTTAACTACACTAAATACATAACTTAAACTAAAAAAAACATGTCAATATAAACTTACGTAAAGATTATGTATTTAAATTAAAGATAGGCATAATATTGCTAAGTAAAGATATGTTTAAAGAAAACATTTTATCGGTTTAAAACGCGATATATTAGTTTGCTATTTGCATGCTTTGCAGCAGCCGTGGTCACGGCTCCTGCAAAGCATCCAAAATGTCGTACCAAAGTTAAAAATCATTTTCAAATAAGTTTAACTAATATATCGCGTTTTAAGCCGTTAAAGTGTTTTATTTAAATGTGTACTACTCGCGTAAACTATAGACAGTATTTAATCTACGATTACTTTTCATACACTTACGTGATAAAGGTTACCCACCCTCATTGTTTTTTTATTATGTGTCATAAAATAAATATGGCAAAACAATGTGTGTCGGGTCAACTAGTAAATTATGTAGTATTATTGAAACTCACCGACTACATTCAGTTGGAACGCGAGAGACATCTTCGGCTCCGTGTTGACCTGGCATTCGTAGATGCCTCCGTCCCGCTCTTGCGGAAACTTAATTTGTAACGTCCAGTTTTCTGATTTGTCCGGTCTGATTACCTGAAATTCAGTACAACTCAGCACAAACGCAACCTTTGAGTGAAAAGGAATACATCGTTTTAGTGTTTGCATATGCAATTGTTTGTATTTGAATTTGGAAAGCTTTTAAGCATTGCAAAGAGGCACATACGTTTGAAAAGTCTCTGCAAGGCTCAGTCGTTTTTCCAATAATTCGTTAAAATATTTATTCATTTGCTCGTGTCCTTATGTTTTATTCTTTGCAATGTAATACAAATAAGACGAAATAACTGTCTAAAACCAAGTTGATTGTAAAAAAAAGTAATTAGATTTAGTATTAAGAATTATCAAACCAGAGATAAGCTGTTAATTCTAGAAAGTCCTTCGAAAATGAAAATTAATAATTTATCAACAGACCTGGAACCTTTGATCCGACGTATACGTGAGTATGCCCGCGGTTAATATATGCAAATCTCTTTTCCTTATCCACGAAACCTGTAAAAATGTGGGATATGGTGAATATACAAATAAATCGCTTTCAAAATAAAGTAATCAGGATACCCTCCTTGCAAAGTACGTCATAAAAATGGTAAACTTCATGATGATCGACAACAAACAATAATCATTAATAATTTCGCATTCAAACTGTCAAAAGTATTGTATTTCAATGAGTACTACAAGCTTGAACTTGACACACAGACACACATGACGTCACTTTTAAATTTAAAAAAAATTCTAGCCGTTTTAAATACGAAGTAAATTAGTTATTTTTTTAACAGACTCGACGTTTAAGATGTTACTATTTAGAAGCAAAAAAAAATTCTATGTTAAATTATAAATCTATTTACATATATTGAATACGGGCGAGGCTTGAACCGGCATTCACAGCGTTCAGTGCTGTTGCTCTAACCGATTGAGCTACCGTGCCCTACGCGTAACCATTATTTGTTTAACCTGCAATACATCTCTGTTGCAATGTAAATTGAATCTTAACACTTCATTTTATACAATGCTATCATGCGCAATAACATGTGAAACTTTGTCGCGATTACGCGAGTAGTACATTTAGATCAAATAAAACCGGACGTTTCGAATGCAGCAGCCGTGGTCACGGGCAAGGTTCGGGCCGTATTTAAAATAATTTTCACTAATATATATCGCGTTTAAAACCCTTATAGTATAAAAAATATGATATTTTTTATTTTATCATGTAATTTAGAAGCAATACAAATAACGTAAATTGCCATAACGTAAATATTATGCGTAAAGACGTACAGACAACAATATTTATGAAGTCCTAATAAACTGAGTGACTTCTTGGAGTCGGGTATTTCGAGTTTCTTGCGAGCAAGACAAGGAATTTGCGGCTTAAACCGCAAAGGCTAAACTAAACTGGAAGCTATGGTTAACCAAACCAGTACATTGGTTTTTGCTCTCAGATATTGTACTAGAAGTGCATAGGTATTAAAGAACAATTAATGCAATTTTCAACAAAAACATTATTCTATTAACAACAGTTATCCTGAATGTATAAATCGATACAAAACAAAACTTTTACAAAATGTTATGAACAGAGGTCGGCTAAGTATTATTTAAACATGTTATCTCTAAGTCTTATCTGTAGGTTACGCGAATAAAATACGTTTAACGGTTTAAAACGCAAAATATATTATGTTTACGGATGCTTTGCGGAGGCTCTCTTTGGCCTCGCACGGAAATAAATGAAAATAGTTAGTATTAGCTTTTTTACTTTTTAAACCGTTCAATTTGTTTCATTTAAAAAAGTTACCACTATACTAATGTTCAATGCTCAAAGATGAAGATCGGCTAACCACTAGTTATAGCAAGTTAAGGTATTCCACGTTTATTTCGCTAAATTGTGCAGAGAAATTTTCCGACTTCAACAAATATTATGTAACGTTAGAATTTCCTTTGTTCCATATAAGTTCAGCTTTAAACTTTAACGCGTTATGAAAACCCCGACATCGTGAAATGTTACACTTTGAACCTAAGTATTAAAGTGTGAGATTAGGTTTATTTCGAACCCGAAATGAGCTCTCTCCAGATGGTAATTTATAGTTAAAATTTCAAACGCGTGGTCAGAATAAGGTAATCTTACTAGAAAATTCACGCTTCTAACCAAATTTGTGATAGATAGCGTTGTTAGGTTGCTAAACTTACTTGACACATTTTCATAAAACTTATCAGGATGACGAACTGGGTGAGAAACTGATATTGCGAATTAAATTCATATTATTCGTTTCTTAGGATCGTTTGGAAAACGAAAAAGTTTGACACCGGAAATATCTTGCAAAACTATAGATAAATAACTACATTTTAATTGAAAAACTGTTTAAAATAAAAAAAAAATATAACAACATGTATTTTAAGCTGTCACTTGTGTATTAAATAATAACGCTTCCACATACACTAATACCATTGAGAGAATTCTTGTGTGACAATTGGTTTTGTCTGTTTAGGCTATAACATCGCGAAGTGACACATCAAAACAGCGGGTAATGTGGAAAAAACGGAGAAAATTATTCATAATTATGGGTTCCGAGGCATATGCTGCAATGCCGGTTTAAGATACCCAAAAAATATGTAAAAAAGAATGACTCCTCTTTAAATGGCCTAAAAAAAGTCCGCGACGCTATATGTCTATCTTTAAGATATACCTGCAATAACGACGGGCAGGGACGCGTTACCCATAACAATTTAATTTTATAAAAAAACAAAGGGTTTGCAAAAACAAATTTGGATGTCGGAAATAACGATCCTAGCGAACGAAGTTGCAGACACAGCTAGTGAGGTATAAAAAGACTGGGTCATTTACCTAATTATGTTTTATGCGTCATGTGAGCCACTATTTTTGACAACTAAAGCCGTTTTTACAATAACGTTTCCGTTAAGTAGTTGAAGTAACACGCTTTATAATGGTAGTAATGAACACTTAATTACAAAAAACTTAGCTTGCCCTATTTACAGTAACGGATATGCTAATATAAAAGTTTTACAGTAAAAATTATTATTCGCTACTGCATCTCGGCTAAGTTGCGTTTTAATTAAGGCTAATTAAACAAAAATTTTCAGCACACGCGACGTGTTTTTAAAATATACTAGCGTTAGATGTTTACGTTGATTAGCTGATTTTGTTTAAATTTAAACAAATATTCTAGCTATTAGCATTCTGTGTTCCTTAACGTAATTATCTTCGAAAAATTTAATATTATTCACATGCTATGATTGCATTCTATAAATTAAAATATTTGGATTGAAAAATACGATACTGGCGGGTATAGAACGGGCGTCCACAGTGTTCCGTGCTGCTGTACTAATTTATTGAGCTACCGTGCCCCACGTGTTACACGGTAGCTCAATTGGATTTTTTAAAAAATTAGCTTTAAATTGATATAAGGAATACCAACTGTCCCACTGGTGTCTTAAACTTTATTAAATTAAATACAATTTTAATTTTATAAAATGCAATCATGTGCAAAATATTAAGGTTTTTAAAATCTTATCGTAAATGTAATATCGTATTTTTAGTAAAAAACGAGCATAGTATTTTATTACCTTACCTTCATTTGTTGTCTATATTAAAATAATTTTAGTTAACGCTTCAATGTTTTAAAAACTCAATTCGCATTCTAGCCAAGCGGAAAATACGTAAAATCTACCTGTCAGACCCAGAACACCCTTAACCTTTGAAGGTAGCTGACCATTGTTCTGATAATCCTATCTTATTGCATTTATAAAGTATGATATAGGTTATGTATACTCCTAATTGGGGGCATCCACACCCTAAGCCGACATCCATTAGGATGTTTTCTACAAAAAATAATTATCTTCCAACTCCGTTTAGTGATAAAGATCTATATTAAAATAATTCGATATGTGAAAACGGAAAAATTAATCTACAAGTAAAAAGTCACGTTTCACAAACGTAATAATTTCATTTCTATGTAATAAAACATTTTAAAAGTTTAAAACTCGGTATCTATTAGTTAATATTCTTTGAAAATGTTTTAACTACGGATCGACGTTTCGGTTGCTTTGCAGCAGTCGTGGTCACGGGGAGACTAAAGATGGAGGGTGTCTCTGACGGTAAAGTAAAAAACTGCTACGCAGGGCACTTGTTCGTCGAAGTTGGTATTTGGCCCAAATTTAGCGCTAACGGCAACTAAGTTTAACTTATATATATATATCGCGTTTTAAACTGTTAAAGTGTTTTATTTAAATTAAATAATAAAAAGAAAGTAAGTCTTACATAACGTACTCCTTTCTTGTATATTTTTGTATGTACATAGTATTAAAGCCAGTTCAAAGTTTGATCGTTTACTTACTGCCTTATCGCCCAGCTGTTCCACCCTGCAATGCAGGAACGCGGTCTGACCCACGACTGTGGTGACATTCCTTGGTACGTTGTACTCGAAGTAGGGGAACGAACCCACGCTGTCTTCGCCATAATGCGCAGTGCCTGAAAAAAAAATTAATATTGTTATTTTATTCATAATATATACACTATACTGTGCTACATAAATTATCTTAAAGATAGAGAAGATGAATTAAGTTGTTTTTTTATGATAGAGGAGGATAGATAACCATGGAGGTTCACTTAATGGGAAACCAAAGACCTCTTACAAGATGCGCTGTCGGCCTATTTTGGTTTCGGATTTTTAGAAATCCACAGACTAAGACCGAAACGTGATAATATCACGGCTTTTTCATCTGTAGATGTTGATTCGTAACCCGAATGGAATTTTGATATTCCTACCACCCATTTAATATCCAGATTTCCAGAAGAGTCCAACATGTTTCAAAAAATATAAATTGAATTAGATTCATGTTGGAGCCGTTGGAGATCGAACCAACGATCACGATCCGTTGATTATTAGCCATACGTTACTACCATTAGACCAGCGAGGACATCGAAACACTTTAACGGTTTTAAATGCGATTTATTAGTTAAACTTATTTGAAAAATATTTTTAACTTCGGCCCGACGTCTCCCCGAGACCACGGCTGCTGCAAAGCATCCGATACGTCGGGCCGAAGTTAAAAATAAGTTTAACTAATGTATCGCGTTTTAAACCGTTGAAGTGTGCCATTTAAATTTTACATTACATTTACATTTTGTTTTTTAAACAAGTAAATATGGTTAAAATGAATTTTATTATACCTATCTTTAGATATATATGTATATATTTATTTTTAAGCGAGTATAAATGTTTTTGTTTTATAAATAATTAAATAATACTTCAATTCTCAGATGAGCTAAAACCTATCTATAAATAGAATTACTTCAGATGAAATTGTTCTGAAGGATTATCCAATAATGCTTCCGCAATTCCCGGTAGCAATTAACGTTTTTTAGAAAATAATAAAAATGTTCTTTCGTTTTCATTAGCTATAGAGGTAAAATCACAAATGAAGCAAAACTCGCCATTCACTGTACTCTACAAAGCTTTTATAGTGCCACCCCAATGAAATTATAAGTGCCTTTATAGAAATAATCAAGTGTTAAAGTATCTACGAACGGACAATGTGACTAACCGCCTCTATATTTGACGCGTAGCCTAGCATTAAACGTAGTGAAATATGTCATAATTATAATTTTTATATATTATAATGTTTCAATGTTTGGTACTTATTGTTATTTGATAAAGCACGCACTGAAAATCAGCGTCTAATTGATGACTTTTAAGAAAAGAAAATGTACATTTTGAGTTTTTTAATTATAAGTTTTTTTTATAAATTTTAGTTATAATATATAATGTACTTCGTGTTGATAGACGGTTTTTTTTTGATGACGACTTTTCTTTGGTTCGATTACGGGGACTAAATACAATCGAACAGTGACACTAAATCCGATAATATCTGTGTCCTACCCAATTATATTCGCAAACTCATAACACCACTTCGAACTCCTCTACAAAGAACTGTTTTAGATGCAACATTATTAAATGTAGTCAAGTTGTGAACATGTTTAGTCTTACACACCTTGACTCCAGCAAACTTTTTGCCTGCTATCTTTAACCCTCTCAGTTTAATTTATGCTGTACTAGCTGTGCCCGCGACGTTGTCCGCGTGGAATAGTGACTTGGGGTAATTTTTTTTAATTATTTAGGCTGTTTATTGATTTGTAAGGGCACATTTAAGGCAGCCAATCTATGTTGTAAGTGCTACTTTGCCGCAACACTCTCACCTCACATCACTCCTACTCTTACTCCCACTCTCATTCCCCCATACTCTCTATTCCCAAAAAGCCAAAGAAGAAAATTTCATTGTTCTATCTTCAAAAACCACGAATTTCCAAACAAACTTTCATCCTCTTTTCAAATCCTATCAACCCTTATTTGGCAATAAAATGTATGTTTTCTCAGGCCCCAAAAATATCTGTGTACCAAATTTTATTTAAATCAGTTCAGTAGTTTCGGAGTTAATGCCGGACAGACAGACAGTCAGACTATTAGTATAGATTCTAACCTTAGGTGTATAAGTAATATAATAATTGAATAACTAATCTATTAAAAAATGTTCAAGTCTCCAAGTCACTCTGTCTTTGTATAACTGTACATGTGTCTCCCATAACTGTTTTACATAATTTTGTACACAATTACATGTAAATAATTGTAACAAAACATCGACAGATAAATAAATCAAAATTAAATATCCATTCCTCCGTCCATAACAGACGAAAGAAGTAAAACGACTAAATACTGTCTATAGTTTACTCGAGTAGTACACGTTTAAATAAAACACTTTAACGGTTTAAAACGCGAATAAAGAAACTTATTTGAAAATGATTTTTAACTTCGGCCCGACGTTTCGAGTCTCCCCGTGACCACGGCTGCCGCAAAGCATCCGAAACGTCGGTAAAAAAATCATTTTCAAATAAGTTTAACTAATATATCGCGTTTTAAACCGTTAAAGTGTTTTATTTAAAAGTAAAACGACAACTAAAATATTTCCTGCCCGCAGTTTTGATAAAATGGTTTCCATATTAATTGATGTCCATCTGCCTGTTTACTGTATAGAAATAGAAAGAACCTTTTTTTAGTTCCGCTTGAGTCATTCCTAGGTCATATAAACAGGATCTGAGACGCCAAACATCTTCATAACCACTTCATTTTTCGTGAGTTTTCCTTTACGTAATAACTACCAGACAGAGAGTTATACTAAATTATAATAAGACTTACATTAAATACTGTCTTTAGTTTACGCGAGTCGTACACATTTAAATCAAATAAAACTTCTATATTAAATCGGTGGTAGTAGTATCGAAATTCCGCCCGGGTCACGGTCAACCACCGTCCACAGATGAAAACGCCGTATTTAATCGCTTTTCCTCTTCAGTCTGTGGATTTCAGCTCGAGCCCATCTCTATCATTAACCACTTTAACGGTTTAAAACGCGAAATATATCCATTAAACGTATACACAAACTATAGTTGAACTAATATATTTCGCATATTAAACCGTAAGACTGTTTGATAAAAGCAAGCAAACATCTGAATATCAAATATCAAAGCTCTAAATTTGTAGCAAACAGACAGTAAGAGCGCTTCATCGAACCGTAAACACAAAACTGAAAAACCTTTTCACACCAGATAGCTATTCTTCAAAAGATCTCTTTAAACACCTTTTATCATGAAACGCGAGTAAATGAGATGTGAATCGCAATTTTAAGTCTCGCAATTTGGCTGAATGACGTGATAAAAAGGGTCAAACGCTGAATATAGTTTGTACGAGGATAAAGGAAGCTTTTGAATTAGAAATTTTAGATAGTTTCAAATGAGGCTAATCTCTTTACGTGTATAACTGCAGTATTTCGCGAGATATGAAATAATTTAAATAATTAAACCATATATGGCGATTTGGGGCTTTTATATAATCATATTTTAGATACATTTTAAAGAGGGCGGTAAGGGCGAGATTTCTATAACTTTATACATCATACATTGTTCTTTGTCGCAGGCGCATCTAGAGATGCGGTAGACATGGTAACTGTGCTATTACCAAAAAATGATGTTAGAATAAATCCTCTTTTACTACGTTCTTCACTACAGTCTTGTACCCGTCGGGAGTATACGTCTAAACTGTTATACACTACAAGGAAAATAAAAATGCACAGTTAACTTAGGCGAAATCGAATTTGTACTATTATTTGTGTAATAATTATATTAACAATTTTCGGTCACTGTTCCCTTGTAGATTAACTTTTTAGGCTATAAAAATATAAATAACTCAAGTCATAAAATAGCTACGCAACTCTGCCTCTGGCGGCCTCATATAATACTTGCTCAGATTTCGTAGCAAGTATAATTTCTCTTTGATTGTACATCTCTTTACATCCATTAAACAACAAATAGCATCAGTTCATTTCATAGAAAAAGCTAGTTTACACTAAATTAATTAGACCGGGCTAGGGCTTCCCCGATGTGGAATGACGACAGATTATTATAAGGACTGATGAACGAAGCCTTTCAGGAGTAGTGATTATTATGTACTGGCTTATAGGAAGGCTTAACAGACACGCGCAATCGCTTACATATAAATAAACCTTTTTATTGCTGTTTTTTTATAAAACTGTATTAAAAAAATACATTTTTAACGTTAAATGTATTAGTGTGTGTAATACGTTTCGCGTTTTAAACCCATAAATTTGTTTTATTTGAATGTGTAGTAGTCGTAACTACAGACAGTATTTAAAATTTTAGCAATCTTTTTCGCTATTTTAATTTAGGTAGCAATTTAATATCTGGAGTTCTACTATTGGCGTATTTGGATGGAGGTAGAAGCAAAATGTATCTATAAATAGTTTTTGCTATTAATACATATATTTTTCAAGTTATTGTTATTATATCATGTAAAGAAAAAAAAACAAAAGAAAAAATATGTGGAAAAGAGTTATATAATATGTGGAAAATTTACATAAAGCAGCTTATTGTTTTTTTTAAATATTACAAAAAATGTCATGATAAATTTAAATAACATTTTTTTTAGAAAATGTTCATAATAAAAATCCCTTTATCCGAATTTCAGACTTTCGAATAGCGTCAACTTTTTTTAAGTATTTTTCGAGGTTAGCATGTATATTATATAGGACAGACAGTTAACTAATTTATTTTTAACTGTTCTGTGTACCGTATATACAAACTTTTTATTTAAGTTTTATGTACATAGAGAAGTAGTTTACTTATTTGTTACATGTTGTTAGCGAATCTTTGTTTTATTAGATGTATAAGCATGTTTAAAATTTGTTACAATTAATTTATAAAAATTACGAATTTAAAAAAATATAATAAGCTTAACAAAACTAATTACAGTCAGAATTAGGCAAAACTTTGATAATTAAAGGGGTTACTCAAAAAACTAATTGGGGGGATTCGGGCATCACTAATTACTCTAAAATTACTAAACTCAGCAAAAATACGTGTTACCCCAATTTGCCGTGTCCAAACTTTTCACTTTCAGC